GATAGTTGATATTAGTGTCAAAATCTCAAATATACTAAATTCCTGCAAGTTCTATGTAAGACACAGAGATGACAGACTGTTAGTGCTCCTCCTGAGAAAAATAATGCAATGTGATACAATGCTCAACCTTGATTAGACACACGGGGGGGGCGGGGAGAAAAAAACCCCCAAACCACACACATGGAAGAAGGAGGTCAGGAAACTGAAGCAAAGCAAAAAGAGTTTGTTCCTCATACAACAAAAGGGTAAGCTGTGCTACTCCTAGCTGCAGGACATCATGAATGCCAAAGACCAGCACGGGTCAGAGACTCAGTTCTGTAAGACAGTATTACAGAGGGAGGGAGGCAATGCATGTATCAATGAGTGCAACTATCTCTAGTTCAAAGTCCCTGAACTGAAATTTAATGGAGAAGCATCATTACACGCTCACCTCATTCCTATTATCTTCTCTAACCATTAGCTTTTCACCACTCTAAGAGACAGGATACCATTTCAGAATAACTTCTGGTCTAATGCAGAGTAGCTGTTCTTATATTTTACAAATATTCAAAACATAAGAAAGTTTCAACCAAGTTTGTTGCCCTATTAGACACCAGAGAACCCATTCTGCAGGGATCACTTCCATCCTTTGTATATTCACTAGTGTTTAACAGAAAAGGGTGAGAGAGCTGGGGCTGTTCAGCCTAGAGAAGAGAAGGCTCTGGGGAGACCTCACTGTGGCCTTGCAGTACCTGATGGGGCCCTGCAAGAGAGCTGGAGAGGGACTTTTTACAAGGGCATGCAGGGGTAGGACAAGGGGTGATGGTGGCTTAAAGCTGCGGGAGGGGGGTTTAGATTACATACATTTTGTTCTTTGCTATGAGGGGGGTGAGGCACTGGCACAGGTTGCCCAGAGAAGCTTTGGCTGCCCCCTCCCTGGCAGTGTTCACGGCCAGGTTGGATGGGGCTTTGAGCAACCTGGTCTAGTGGAAGGTGTCCCTGCCCACAGCACGGGGGTTGGAACTAGGGGATCTTGAAGGTCCCTTCCAGTGCAAACCATTCTATCATTCTAGGATATACTGTACATTGCAATTTTTATTAAGATTAGTCAGCTGTCAATTACAAATCGCTTGGAAATCCAGATCCATGTGTTCTGCTGCTCACAGAACTCGGCACTCTATGTTTCCAAAAAAAAACCCCAAACTCCCACACCCCAAAAATTAACTATATTCTGCTGGTTTGCACAAATACAGTGGTATCAAAAGAATGTTTAAAAGTAATAAACTGAACCACTTATGGCTAACAGAAGTTCGTATGTAGCTAAATTTGGCCTAGCAGATATTCACAGCTTTTCCAGCAAAACGAACCTAAGGTGAAGCTTTGCTCATAAATCTCAAGAAAATCTGCAGCATACCTTTGAGTCCATGAGCTCTGTAGTTTTTAATTAAATATAGCATAAATAAATGTAATCACTGCATCAGTTTCTTGAAAGCAATTTATTTGCAGTAAGATCAAACATGGAATTAATGCAAAGCAAAAGTAATGATTAGCCCCATCTGGCCTGCCTCTCATGTTTACCCAAACGCTTAATCTGAGGCTGAAATTCTACCATTCCTTTGATTAATTCTCATGCTTGATCCACAATATAAATAAATTATCATAGCACACTTTCAAGGGACTTATTTTCAGTAAAGAGAACAGGAGAGCTGGCTATGAATTAATTACTAACTACTAACCTACAGCCAAAGATTGCTTATGGACTGCGGTATTCATAACTACTTATCAAGAATATGAAATCAGACCAGTAAGTACATGCAGCTCTCAGTGGGACAGGAAACCATTCACCTGTCTAAAGAAAGAATTTAGTAATAAACAGTACCATTTCTTGTTCATTCTCAAAAACAATGGGTACTAGAAATAGACTGTCCTTTATCATGGGAAAAAATGGCAAATTGCTGATTACCTGTAAAGAGCTAGACAAATCTATACAACATGGAATAGAAATAATTCTAATTCTAGCTTTTCTATAAGACATATAAAACTATGTAACACTGAAAAACATGACAGAAGCCACAACCGTTCAGGCAACTTCTTGCATTAAATCATTAGAGGTGGAGTTCTGCTGTATTATAGGCTCTCACTTGCCAAGCAATATACTTCCATCACTCACTAGATGATTCACACATATTTATTGTATCCATCATGGCTTTCAGTTTCCATAACTGGAAACAGGACCCACAGATCTGATCAGTAACTGACAGTCTTCCCATATTTCCTACTGAAATGATATGTCAAAGAGTCAGGTAGCATACGGTCACTGCAAGACTCCAGCAACACTCTCAAAAGATATTTTATTCAATTTTATTATATTTTAAACAAGGTCAGAAGAATTAACAGAGTTCACATTCCATTTCACTTATAGAAAAATTACTGGTTATTACTTGCAAATAACTGTTAAAGCTCCCATTGACATTAACAGTGTAGAGTAGGAACTACGATACATTATAGTAGCTTAGAGTTGCTGATATCCAAGCAGCAAAAATCATCATTTTAATAACTTGGAAAATGTCCTTTTTCACGCATGCGAATAAAAGATTAAACTTTTAAATCTATACACTCATCTGATTATCAAGACGGTAGATAGGGATGCAGGTTTGGTTTACTGAGCACATACGTGACTGCGTATTAATAAACCTGAGTCCTGTACTTTCACTACACCAGTGAACCAGTTTCCTTACTTTTGCATCCCACCTGGAAACACAGAAGAAGAAACATCTGTTGGGCAAAGTTGGGCAAAATTATTAGAATAATCTTACCAGTGATAAATAATGATGGGCGAGACAAAGTTCAGTAGTCATTTAGATGCAATTATTTCTTAGAACATTTTTTCCCAGTTACTTTCTTTATAATGAAATGCAAAAATTATAGGTAGCAAAGACAATATTTTATTTAGATATGTGCATACGTTTTTGCACTCTTTGTTAAGAAGTTGTGAACAGCTATAAGAAAAGCCTGTACAAAAGGCAGTCTGACTGGTAATGTCTGCATAATTACATACACACTCGCAGCATAATATCCATGACACAGGCTGGATTCCTTTACTTCAGATCACCAGGATGCCTGCTACTCAGTGGGAGCCAAATGAATTTTTGAAATTTTGTAATTTATGCACCCCACATGGAAACATGATAACAGCTTGCAAGGATTATCAGCAGCTGACACATTATGCAGAAATTAGTCTTGAAAAAAGCCCTGTAAACTATCTTTGAAATAATGTTTATTAAAAACTGTGTTCTTTGTCCAAAAAAAAAAGGATACACAAAAAAAGAACATCCACCAAGTTCATATGTTTGAATTTGTTTGATTTGCTCTTGTATTAATGTTTAGAAAGCAATAGCAAACAGTCAATATAACACAATCAAATCTTTGATCACAAATTACTACATACGTGGGACCTCAAAGACATGAAAGGCATGAAAGCATATGCAGATGACAATTCAAGCTTGACTGCAAGTATCCATCATTCCCCAGCTCTCATTATGTTCATACTCTTGTGCAGTGTTTATCTTACAGAAATACATTACAGTGGTATTTCCTTGCCTCTCTAAAAAAAGATCTGTAGAACATCTTCAACAGTGCTGCCACAAAGGTTTTCTTTTACAGCCAAATAAAAAAGTTGGATTCTAAATGCTCATTATTATTATTTCCTCCCATTCTGTTTTCTGTTTACACGAGGGAGCATCTCCGTATGTTCTTTAATTACTAAAAAGTCTTACAGAATCTACAAGACTAAAGGCAGAACAAGTACAAAACCCATGAATTCCCTATAGGTTTGAAAAGACAGTACAGTAAAACAGTCAGGCTTCATTAGCACAGAGCAAAATATACCAAGACAGGAAAAATCTTTGGTCTTAACTCAACTTTTGAGCAAAAAAAACCCATGGCAACCTTCACGCAAGAAATATCTAGAAGAACCTGGTCAGAGAGACCCGGACTCTGACAACAGGTCAGCTACATGAGGAGCCAGAACACAGATAAGCAAACTCTCCAGGAAGATATATGAAGTATATCTGACTGTAAAAAGTATTCCTAACTTAATTTAGGACACATGCAAAGAAAGACTATTAGGATGACTAATGGAGAAACTCTTGTTAAAGAAGTAGTTTAAAAAAATCCAGGCTCATGTAGTCTAAACAAAAGGTTGGGGGGACAGTGCTCTAACTAAATACAGTCAGAGGTTGAGGGCCTTCATCTGAGGCACGGACATAGGTCAGTCCCAGATCATGGGCCAGCAGTCACGTTTAGCTAGTATGCAGCTGCTGTAGGGAGCTAGAGCACTGACAATGTGCATCTGTTACAGGATGAAAGTAAGTATTTTGTAGGTGTTAACATTTCTGATCTAATGCCGATTGATCACAGTGCAATGATCCTTCCCACATCCCGTGTTCCTGTACATAGCACAGCAAGTTATTTTTTCTTCCCTTTCCTTCCCTTCCCCCTGCCAGGCGGAGCGAGAGCAAAAGGAAAGGAGATTTCTTGTATTCTCAAAATCACAAGGCACTTCCAGCACTCAAACACCCACTAAGTGGAAAGATTTTTAAAGCGTCCAAGAAACATCCACATTCCTACAGTATATTACATCTCAAAGACAAAAGACTAAGATTATTTCTCTCCTTTTTTTTAGTATTTCTACCTACACACCTGTCTGGGCTTTACAGACAACAAATTGCTCACTGGATTTCACTTACCAGCTGAGCTCTGCAGCTCCTGTCCTTTCAAGAAAGATAGTTGTCTTGTGCAGCTAGGGTTTTTAAAAGAGGATGTTCTGCACACATTCTAGCCTACCTATTGTTGATCAGACTGCATCAGTTACAACACTATAATATATGACGAAATTATGCCAAAGTATACTCACAAAGCTCATTAGGGGAAATCCTGATGCCAATAAAATTGGTGACAAAACCCCCAGAGTTTATCTTTTGTTACATTACACCAACAGGACATTTAAAAGTTATACCTACCTAAACTGTTATTGCTGCTAGTTGGCCAGGAAGCTATCCTATCCCTCAAATTTTTCTTTCTACAAGAGTCATCCGATTTCACAGAAAGCTCCACTTCTTCCTTCCTGATTTCTCGTACCAGTTCCATGCGGCACTGACTAAAATCCTGGAAGGAAATTTTTCCATTTTCATCTGCTCCCAGCTGGTGCATGATCTCTGCGACAGACTCCTCCATATTCAGCTGGCGGCATATCATCAGCAAGTCATTCCTAAGGATATTTTTAGAGGGTAAACGGGGTCAGGGGAAGGACAGAGTGGAAAAAAGATGGGAGAAGTGGGAACAGAGAAGAAAAAAACAACAATTTAGTTTAGAAGCAAAGGAATACTAACTCTGTCTAATCTGGAAATGCATTAATGCACAGACATTTAAAACCAATAAGACAACTATAGTTTTTGTTAATCCAACAAAGGAACTATGATGGTGCCAAGAAATTACAACATAGACTATGGAAAGGGGGGGAATATTTTTCTTTAAGTGTTAATCTCTATTTTCATGCCACTATTATACTTCTACTAGCAGAGACAGACAAAAGGGAGAGCTGAATCCTGCTGTTGATCTTCACAGCATCTTCTGAAAAGGTGACATAATAACAATTAAAATAATTATCTTCTGACTAGATCAATGACTACTTAAATTTCCATTTTACTCAGGTCAGGCCAAAGAAACCCCTTTTGCCACTGAACAGCAGTAAGCTAAAGAGGAAAACATACAAAGAAAACAGCAGAAAAAGAGAAATATTATTTCAATCAACTGGCTTCAAGCCCGCCTCCAAACATTCTGAATACAAAACCCTCTTAAGAAGCTTGCTTGGTACAATTGTTTAATGAAACTCATAAAAGGGGGAGGAGGGCAGTACTATGAAAAATACTCTGGCACCAACTGCAATTGGCCAAAAGACAGCTGCAACCAAATCAACATGGAAGATATTTCAGCATACGATACATTTACAAATTCATACAATGTGCTCTTAGGAGAGATGCATGCAAATAACCCTAAACATACTATCCAGGCAAAAGAAAAGTCAGTAACACCATGATCAATGACGTTTTCTTTTTTATGTGAAGACAAAATCCTCAAGAACATACCTTAGGCTCAATTTAGGGTATAGTACTAGTCTCAGGAAATAACATTCCTCACCTCTGTCTTTTTTCTTTTTTGAAACTGAGGTAAGACTAAGTATTTTGAAAGAATTCTCAACAGTAGCAGCTGGTAAAAAAAAAATCATTAATCAGAAGTTGATAACTAACGAAAGGTGAATAACCATTAACAAGTCTGCTCAGGGAACAACAGGAAAGAAGGTATTGGATGTTAATTGGATATGAATGTAAGTGGACTATTAGACAAACACCTGATACTCTCCAACGGTGGTGGATGTGCTGCTCAGTGAAATTCCTCAGTCATTTCCTTCATCAGAGACTAAATCAACCCCCCAGAAAAGGGAAGGGTTTTTTTTAAGACAGTCATACTGTGTTTTTTCAAAATGTAAACCACTAAAGAACTCGCTGTTCTTAGGCAAACAGAACCCTGCAACTGTAAACCCAGACCAAATAATCTTCCTGAGCACACAGAGAAAGCACCTCTGCTCCTTTCCAGATGCTCACAGTTTTCACACCCAGCAGGAGACAAAGCTGACAGACTCAGGCCTGCCTCATTTTGCTGCTACTCAGAGAGACGCAGCCGCCAGAAAAAGCCGTTGGTTACATTAGGTGCTGCTTTGTAAGTCTGCTTCACACGGGAATTCCAGCGCTGCTGCAACAGACTTCTGGCAGAGATATTTACTGTAAAACTGGAGTGTAATAATAGTAAGTACACTATGACCATGTATTTTAGCATTAAATAAATAAAATCTTCACTTATGACAAGAAATGGCTTTATTATAAGCAAATTAATTACATTATATAGGCCAAATATAGGTGACTGATACCTGCAGCTAAAATTTTGGTCAGAGTTTTGTTCTTAGCTTTGAATCTGGTCAACGAATAAATAAATAAATAGTCCTAGCATAGCTCAGTTCCTCTTTTTTAAAAATCAAGACAACAATACCAATTAATCTCACAAGGCTGTTGCAAAGAAAAATAAGGATGACAAAGCATTCACATTTTTACAAGGGGAATGACAGATGCAATTAAGCTATGTCTATAGCAACACGGACTGATGGACACCCCAGAGGAGAGTTAATTTGGGAATAAGTATCAGGAGCAGCAGCAGTGTAGAGTTGAATCTGCCCAGGGCTTCCAGGACAGAGGTCTGCTGCCCTTGCACCCGGAGAGGCCAGCTGGGGTGGAAGGAGGCGGTGGTGATGGTGGCAGGCCTCCCATTTCCCTGCCTCGGGCAGCTGAAAGCCTCCATCTCCCTTGCAGCCCACGCAGGGCACCTCCAAATAGCTGTCTGGTTGTCTTCTATCTCCCTGCAGCCCACCCAGGGCATCTACAAATCACTGTCCGGTTCCCAGCAGTCAAAAGGTGCTAAGCTTTCTCCCCTCTTAGGCAAATAAGAACTGAGTATCATTTGTAGCATCTGCAGCCTAAGGACACTGCCTGAAGCAACCTACAGAAGCACGAAAACAGATGTAATGAATTACAAAAAACAGTAAGTCAGAGACTACTCAAGTAACTGAGGTCTACGAGCATGACTGAAAATAGATTTCACTTACTTGGAGTGCATAACGCAATCCGAAATGACACAAGTTTTCCTAATCTCCATCTACAAACATTATCAAAAGGATTTTTATTTTTAAGTAAAGATGAACATTTTAATTTTAAAGTCTGGAAACATTCCCACGTAGATCTGCAGGCATTTCTGCATGTAAAGATCTGTATGTTGAGAAGCACAACTAATTGTAACTGGTAGCTTTAAAAGAAAATAGTCTCAAAAACATTCTGAAACATAATAAAAATAAAATCACACAGAATCACAGAGTCACAGAATGTTCGGGGTTGGAAGGGACCTCTGTGGGTCATCTAGCCCAACCCTCCTGCCGAAGCAGGGTCACCTACAGCAGGCTGCACAGGACCTTGTCCAGGCAGGTCTTGAATATCTCCAGAGAAGGAGACTCCACAACCTCCCTGGGCAGCCTGTGCCAGGGCTCCGTCACCCTCAGAG